CCGGAGCTGTTTCTTGCTAACTGTTTTGAAAATGAGGTCCCGAATCTTTTGGCCGTGACCTGTTTTTATCGATAGGTAACGATTTCATTTGACCCTCACTTGAGGGGAGGCTTCCTAATGGGCTCGTAAAGTTTCGCAAACGGCTCTTACTATTTGGCCCATTAATTCAGCTAACGGGCTAAATTCGGGCCCAACAGTTATACATTGGTCGTTGTTGATGGTTTGAGTAGCGGCCACGGCCTCTGTAGTTTTTGCGATTGGTTCCTCTGTTGTTGAAAGGCCGTTTCTGTTGTTGATGCTGCTGAGTTGGACGTGGAGTTGGAGTGGTAGTGGAGACGTTGAGCACCTTGTCTAAAGAAGCAGTGTCCTTAACTCCTGAAGATCTGTTGCCTTTGTTGAGTCTTTCTTCTTCTAAGATCAACATCGATCTTGCTTGTTCATAAGTCGGGAATGGTTGACGGTGCATAATAACGTTGATGATGTTGTCATACTTCGCTGTTAGGCCGTTGAGCATGTAAGTGACTAGAGTCCTTTCTGAGACTGGTGCATCGACATTGGTAAGGAGATCAGAGATTGATTTTAGGTCCTGGCAGTAAGCATGGATTGTCTGGTCTCCAATCACTTTGGTACGAAGATCATGATCGAGTTGAATGGTACGTGCTTCCTTGTTGTCTCGAAAGTAGTTTTCGATACGAGTCCAGATCTCACGAGAGTTCCCTCCAGTTTCGAAAGTGCTTCGGAAGAGATCTTTCAAGAGAGTACCATACACCCACAACTTAACCAAACCGTCACGTTTGATCCATTGCTGATCGTTGTCATCTGTGGGAAGAAGGGTACCGTCAAGGTGACCTGCAACATCAAAACTTTGGCAGTGAGTGAGAAAAAGTTCTCTCCAAGCATCATAGTTGTGGTCATCCGTATCCAAGATGATAGGAATATGCACCTTGATGTTGTGCACAGCATACGCTCGCTCAAGAACAGTAGGTTGGGCAGCCATGATGGATCGAAAGAAATTGAAATAGGGAGGAAGAAAAGAAAGAAGAGGAGATTTGAAGAGGTGATATTAGGAATTTAGTGGTTCAGGATTGATCAACCCTCTGATACCATGAAAGTGAAAATATTTCCCTTGAATTCATTTACAGATTTACATGAGTATATAAACACAAAACTGTTACAAGATACGTGGGATCGTTCCAGGAATATAGGAAAATAATATAATATTGGAATGCTAATAGTCTTCTCTGTGTAATCCAATCGCATGCGTTCACAAACCCTAAATTTTGATCTTGATTAGATAGACTATCTACAATGGATAGCATTTTACGGTGGAATCAAGGAGCTGATGTAAGATGTGTGTTTTGTAAAAATGCTCCGGAGTCCAGGAATCACTTATTCTTTGAGTGTTCTCAGTCATCGCAAGTTTGGGAGTACCTTACAAAAGGAATCTTGCAAAATGACTAATCAATTTTCTGGACTGTTCTAGAGCGTATTATTGTAGATACAACTATGAGGAAGATGAAGTTATTCTGTATAAGGTATACGTTCCAGACTTCAATTCATGCGTTGTGGAGAGAACGTAACAATATTAAGCATGAGGTGAAGCCATTACCTTTAACTGCTCTTATGAAGATGATTGACAAAGGGATTAGGAATAAATTGAGCCACTGGTTGGTAAGGGAGATAAGAGATGGGCAGGAGGTCTACAATGTTGGTTTTCTACAAGATTCTAATGTTTTATAAGATCAGAAAAAGTCTAAGCAGTAGCATATGGAAACTCTAATATATAAAGAGGTTGCACTCGATGTAATAAGAGTTTTTTAATGAATAAATTTAACATTCATTCAAAAAAAAAAAATTTGATCTCGAATCGACAGGAACTAGTTATATTTTTAAACCCAACTTCATCGTACTTAGAGAACGGAGGAACGATTGAGATTCCGCATCCACTAGATTCACTTTATCAAGAGGTGGAGCTTGCCATGGTGATCGGGAAGAAGGTTAGAGATGTTCCCGAGTCAACCGCCATGGATTACGTTGGAGGTAGTACTGTTTTCATTCTCTGAGCTGTAGATATATCATCTCTGCTCACATATATGTTCTTCTTGGTTTTAAAGGATACGCAGTTTCTCTTGATATGTCTGCTAGGAAAATCCAAGCTTCTGCCAAGGTAGTTTAAACCCTATCTTACTTAATACCAATCGCTCCCTTGGTTCTTATACTCTTCTTGCTCTAAATTAAGCTCCTAAACCAACTATGATTAAGGGTTTTCTTTTAGTAATTGGGATCATGATTTAGGACTGATTTCAACCACCATTTTCATGAATGTATGGTTTTTCCTAGAGATGTTAAAATGGATTTGACGCCAGTAAACAGCCCTAGTATAAAATTTCTGGTCTGTGGTCCTCTTATTATCATGAACAAATAAATGAATTTAAATGGTTCGGTCCATTTAGGTTCGTTTACTTAACAGACATACCCGCTAAATAAATGGGTATCCGTTTAGACCTATTTATAAAAAAATTATAAAGAAAAACTATATTTAGAAAATTTAAAACTTATTTAAATCCTTTAAAATGTTATAATTTTAATATTTACTTTTTTAAAACAAAATATTTATGTTATATTTAGTTTGTATGTATTTTGAAAAATTCAATGTTATAATTGTGTTAAAACTTATTAGGATTTAGGCTCTAAATGGTCACCAAAAGAATGACTGAAAATAATGGATTCCTTATCATTTCTTAATTTTTACACTATTTACACGGAATTTTTGTTCCTTATAGTTAGGGGTGGGACGGATCCGGATATTCGGCAAATTTGAAGTATTCGGATCCGGATCCGGATTCGTCGGATCCGTGATTTTAGTATCCGGATTCGGATTCGTGTCTTTCGGATATCCGGGCTTCGGATATCCGTCTAGATATTGTGATATCCACGGGTATCCAGATTCGGATTTGGATCCGTAAAATAATTAATTTTTTTAAAAAAGAAATAAAAAATAATGCGTAAACTAAATATTTAAGCATAATTTATAAATATATATATATATGACATATAATATTATTAATATAATAGTAGAATGTTATTAAAACTATTTTATGTAGAAATATTAATATATCAGATATAATTAATAATAAAATAAAAAAACTAATATATTTTTTTAAAAAATGGTTCCGAATCCAGATATCCGGACCTAAAAATTATGATATCCGGATCCGGATTCGGTTTGCACGGATCCGAGATTTTACTATCCAGATTTGGATCGGGACACCTCTGGATATCTTAATTTCGGAGCGGATCTGGAGCGGATCTTGGACCGAATCCGGATCCCGGAGAAAGTTCCAGCCCTTCTTATGGTTCCTTAATATTCCTTAACATTTGAGGAATAATAGAATATAATTATTTCTTAACAAATTAGAGAGGAATATATTTTTCTCTTGTTTTATTCCTTTTCATTTTTTTAAAACTTTTTATATTATTTTAATGGTTACAAGTTACTGCTTTATTGATATATTTGTGATATGATCAATTGATAGTATTTAATAAAAATAAAGTATTTTAGTTTTCAAATTTGACTTTAATTTGAATCTTTTTATTATAAAGTTTTGAAATCAAATAAAAGTATTTTTTATTAAAACTATATTAAATAGATGATGTAGGACTATTGACAAAATAATTGTATTCACAAACATAAAAAACATAAACGGGCTAAACGGATTTAAACGGACATTTTCAGATTTAACGGACTTAAAACTAAAAGGATATGTTGATAAACAGTCTTAAATTACATGGTTTAAACGAGTATGACTTAAACGGACATGACTTAAAACGGACATAGGCTAATGTGAGGGATAAAACTCACTTCCTAATTTAGATTAGGTTTAGATTGGAGAAAAAAAAATCATGGGCTGAATCCTGTTAGAACTTAAAGAATGAATATGATTGTTTTGATGTTTTTGGTAAAAGACGATTACAAATGTTTTGATCTGAGATTACAAAGAATAAAGGATGTTTCTAGAGTTCTTGAATATGTGAATAATGATGAATCAAAATTTGGACCCCTTGCTTTGATCTCCTCCTCCTCTTTTATAGCTCTCGATCGTGTTTCAACGACCTTAGCTAACCTTCGAGATTTGCTCCGTGAGTTGAGGGATTCTCTACAGTCTCCTTTTGACCGGGTCCTGCGCATCCATCATGAGCTATTCCTACTAGCTCTCTGTGAATGAGGTCCGGAGTTCTCTTCTGTGACCTGTTTTGTTAACCTTTCTTTCCTGAGCAAAATAGCCTCCGGCTTCTTCTTAACTCTTTTTCTCAAAAGATTAATTGCTAATGGATTCGTAATGGCCCATTGTCAGTTCTTATTGCTCGAGCCCATTATCCTTAGCTAGCGGGCCATATTCGGGCCCAACAGTTTCCCCCAGCTTTCGAGATGGGACCTCTTTTCTCGGAAGCTAAAGCTCAACCGCCTGATCTCTATCTCTTTGTTGACATGACGATTATTTTATATTAAACTCAAGGATACGCGTGGCCTTAATCGAATGGTCCTGATTTCGTTTGGTAAGATCTACGGCTGACATTAATATATTTGAACAGTTTCGTCCCCGATTTTCGAGACACGATGTGATATAAAGCTGTAGTCATTAACTGAAACTTTTACCACTACTCCACGCCTCGATTCGGTATCCCAGGTAACTGTTCACTTTCCCCCTTTAACTTGTGGTGATTAATTTTTTATTATTATTTCCGATTGCTTCTTGTTCTCGTTACGATTCTCTGGAACTCTAATTCGAAAGTTCCAGGTTCAATCCGAATCTCTTTTTCGCTCTCTTTCTACCCTTTGGCTCCTTTCTCTGTTAGCATGACGCGACCTAAGGAAGGTATCAGAGAAACTGAAATCTCTTCTTCCGGTGTCCGACTTATGAAGGTTAAACAGGAGGTCGGCGAGACGATGAAGAGGGATAGGAAGGCTAAGGAATCGATAGCCTCAAGAGTTTCAAAGCGATCCAAAAAGAACGATGGCTCGAGTGGGAGCGTCCCTTTTGGTTCTCATGTGGCCTCCTCGTTGAAGGGCCAAGAAGTGGTTAATCTTATGGTTCAAGCCGGAGGTCACAAAGATTTAGCCAGGGCCTGTAAATCCGACGAGACCCCGGAGACTGCTCCGGTGGGGTGGTTCTGTGTTCATGAGAAGTACGTTACCAAATTTCATCTCAGGTTCCCGCTTCCTGATCTTTTGTTGGATCTTCTCGATCATTACCATTTAGCCCTTTCCCAGCTCTGCCCCTCAGTAATCCGAGTGATAAACGGTTTCATCACTAGGGCTAAAGAAGAAGGGGTTGCCGTTGATCTTCGTGACCTAATGAGCCTCTATACGATCAAGGAGAGTGCTTCAAAGGAAGGTGGTAGTGGTACCAATTATCTGCCTTGTCGACCCAAGTTGGGTCTTTTCAAGTTCTCCGGTAGTGACGATGACTGGAGGAAGAAATACTTTTATGTAAAGATAGATCCTCTGACGATTCCTGAGGGTCGTACCCTCAGGGTTACTTGGTCTGATGTTTCGGGTTACGACCTCTAGGGAAGCATTTGCATGATTTATTTATTTCGCGTATTTTAATAATCGTTGGTTCTTCTTGCAGATATCGAAGAACCTGAAAAGCTTACTGGTAAGCTCACCAGAGCTCTGTACCGCAAGTTGAAACAAATTCCTTGCACATGGGGAGCTTTCACTACTTCACGTGTAGGATCGGCCAGGTTTCCTGAACGATACGGAGCCTCCTTTCTGGAACCTACCCCTGCTGCAGGTCTAGAAAGTAAGTCAGCTTTACCCTTCTTTTTGAGTGTATTAGCTACGTGTTTAGAACTGTTTGATTTTTGAACGAGTTTTTATTGATCCATTTTCTGAAGGTAATTCGATCGTGACTATCTCGACGGAAGCTAGTACTTCTGAGACTGAAAGAACTCAGCAAACTAAGATGCCTCTCCAACCGTCTTACCGTTCTCGGGGTAAAGCAGCCAAAGTAGCCAGTTCTTCTCGAGGTAGCGAGAAGAACCAGGGGGTTCTTTTCTTAACCAGGTGAGAGATGTTCTTGATGATGGGGTTTCTATCCCGGTCAGGGACGTCGTCTCTGTCGATGTCCCAAAGGTCCAGGAGTTTGCTCCCAAACCTAATGTTCAGGCTAAGGAAGCTGACCCTCAAGCGGACAAGGAGTCTTCTGAGATCGAGCCTCCAAGACTTAAGAGGTCTCGAGTTGACCAAGTGGATAGACCGTCTAGGTCTTCCTCCTCTTCTTCCAGGGGAGGAACCGCGCGATGGAGTTTCACCCACTCAAAACCCGGTTCAGTCTTGGAAGATCCTTGGGGTTTGGCCACATTGATGAGGCATATGAAGAGGACCGGTTGCTCTCTCCCCGCGATCAACAACATGACTAACCGAGAGGAGTATGTGGAGGTTGCTCACTGCATGGGTCAGGTGAGGAACCTTGATTTTTTCTAACTCGTTTCCTCTAGTGAGGTCATTGGTTCATGGTTTGTTCGATCTTTCTTGTAGTTGGATGGGGCTATTAACAGAGCTCAACTGAGCTTGGAGGATACAGTTAACAATGCTCCCAGAGCTGGGGAGTTAGCCCAGGTGACCGAGATGGTGAAGGCTACCAAGGAGGAGCTTGATCAATCCCGAGCTAGAGTTGCTGAGCTTGAAGGTGTCGTGGAAAGGTTTGGCTCGAAGGCTGATATTCAGGCCGGGAAAATTGAGAGTCAAGTTATTGATATCCAAGTGAAGGGAAGGAGGATAGCTGAGCTGGAGGCTGCTCGGAAGGTCGCGGAGCAACAAGTCCGAGAGCTGATTGCTTCGTCGCAGGTTAGCAAGAAGAACAAGGAGGCTGAAGTCAGACTAGCTATCCGACAAGGGAAGAAGGAGGTAGCCGAAGCTTACAACAAGATCTTGGTTTCTGTCAAGGAGAAATTTTCCAAGAAGAAGGAGGAAGTTAGCCTTCAGATCTATGCTCAGGAACTTCAAGCTAACACTGTCCTTCTTGAGGAAATGTTGTCCAACGAGATCAAGAGTGTT